TAATTAATTCTATGTCTTTGCTTTTTGTGATGTTCCCTAGCTGTAATGGTTTTTTAGCAGCTAACATTACTCCCCCATGGGGGTCTTTTGGGCGATCTCTGCGTTCCATATCATAGTTAAGATAATCAGGGATTATCTCGCTTGACTTGATGTTTGAGTCTAACCATGTTTCTGTGCCTATGATTATATCTGGTTCAGTTGATTCTATTAATGTTTCAAGGAGTTTACCTTTTTTCCTTAGGCTTTGGAAATTGATGTTTAGGATTCTTAACTGTTTCTTTGGTATAGTCCGAGATTACTCTGACGTCCAACGGCTGTTTTGCCAGACAAGCTGGGGCCGTGGGACGTCAGAGCTCGTCCCATATCAAAAAGTGGATATTTGCCCGTCCAAAATAGATGCGCTGCTTCGTCGCTTCTGGTGCCAACGGACGGCCTTGGAATTATATAAATCAGGTATCAATTTGTTCATTTTTCATTTATCTCTTCATTTATGTAAGTTTCACCTACCTGCCACCCTTTATTTTCTCATATTTAGACAGTTTTCACAGTGACCCAACGTTTCTGGCATTTTGACTTTCATTTTGAAAGATTGTCATGTGATCACGAGAAAAAAGTAAGGCACAATGGACTATGGGAAATGATGTATGCATATGACCCTAGGTCAATATGAATATATAATCTAACACCTCGCTCATTTACGATGCAAGCAATGTAAATATAAGAGAGCTTCCGAATGTTATCGTGGTTGGCACTAAATGCTAAATACCGATCTCCTGTAAAGGAGGTGAAAAATCGTGGTTGGCTACTAAATGTTAAATATCGATCTCCTATAAAGGAGGTGAAAAAAGTATAAATATTTGCATATTTGAGTCTCGAGGTCGCAAAATCTCTCGTAACATTTGAAAATAAAAGTAAACATGTCTGAATCGATGGGTCACTGTGAAAACTGTCTAAATATGAGAAAATAAAGGGTGGCAGGTAGGTGAAACTTACATAAATGAAGAGATAAATGAAAAATGAACAAATTGATACCCGATTTATATAATTCCAAGGCCGTCCGTTGGCACCAGAAGCGACGAAGCAGCGCATCTATTTTGGACGGGCAAATATCCACTTTTTGATATGGGACGAGCTCTGACGTCCCACGGCCCCAGCTTGTCTGGCAAAACAGCCGTTGGACGTCAGAGTAATCTCGGACTACTTTGGTACTGTCTTGGTTTTTATTGGTTTAGGTGATGATGTCATGATCGGTATATCTGTACTGAAAGTTGAGCAGTTAAATGATGGGGAATTTATGCTGGATCTTGATGTTGATGGGATGGATGCTTCGGATATACTGTCTGCCATTAATGGATTGGTTGATATGTTTAGCGTTGAATGTTTGCTGCTATCTCCATTTGGTATAAAATATACTTTAGTTGAAGAGTTGTTTGGTTTTGAACAAGATGGGCATGTCCAAGTGTCTTCACTTTTTCCTAAATTGCTGAATTCTGTTGTAGACATTCCAATACAGTTTCTGTGTGTCCATTTGTCGCAGTCATCGCAGGCTATAGATTCCAATTTGCATGCTTTTTGGCAAATTGTGCACGGAAATCTTGGCTGTCTTGGGCCTGGGTTAGGTTCTATACCACTAAGTAGGAGTAAGATCATATGTTGTGTGCTCCTGTCCCTGGCATATGCAAATTTTGGTTGACACATTTGTATATGTTTTTTACTGTTCTTTATCCAGTAATAGGTTTGAACAGCTGGAGTTACCTGGTTACTAAGTTGCTCAGTTAAATATATGTTCACCCCTTCAATAGTTCTGTTGTTGTAGATACAGTCCTGATGAGTTGAATGGTATTTTGACTGTGGGGTAAGTATTATGTGATGTAAAATTAATGTTTGTCTTGTCCAAAGAGTAAGTGTTAGCATGAAGATTGTATAAGCGAACATTTCTATTGCTGTGTATGTATCTTAATAATGCCGTTAAGTACTTACTAGATGTGATGATCCTTCAATCTGTGTCTTCAATGTATTCTAACCAAACAGCTCCAATTGTCCTCAGCTGGAACAGAAAACGTAGGTTGAGTGTGATGTAAGTGTTTTGATTCTGTATAAACGGTAAGTAGTAAAACCTGATAAGATAAACTAACCTAGAATTTTACTACTCGTCTATATATAGTTTCTTGGATCACTGGTACCTATGTTTTCTTAATAACTGGCAGAAGGTGATGGTTAGAATAATGAGTTCAGTTCCTCTTGTTCGACTCTGATCTGTATGAAGTCAGATTCCTGGTCTATGTGGAAGCATTCAGTGTAAGTGTCCAGTATTATTTGTTTAGTGATGGCTAGACTTAGTAATCGTCCAGGGTGTACACCGTCCTTACTGTTAATTGATAGGTTAACAGACTTGCGTATTTGTCCACTCCTTCGTTTGCGTCCTCTAAAGTAGTATTTGCTGACTTTCACTGTTGTTTTGTTGAGTTTGTTGTTAATTTCAATGATTTTACTATTTAGATCTTGTATTTGTTTAGTCAGTAAAAAATCTTCAATTTTGTATGTCCCTGGGTTATTGTGGCCTTTGTTTTTGTTCCACTTTGATATTGATAGTATTGGACAATCAATCAATTTAATTTCAGCGTTCTGATGTTTATTAACAATATTGATGGCTCTTATATATTGTTCTTCTATGTTGTGGATTGCTTTATTGTTGTGATATTTTAATTTGATGTATCTTCCTTCTTTGGTGGTGAGATCGCATGTACCGGACCAGAGGTAAATGATTATTTGGTTGCCTTTTTAGGTCCTCTTCGATTAATCGACATAAAGCTTATAACAATCAGCTTGTCCGTCTGTCCGTACTTGTGTGTGTGTGTCCGTTCGTCCGTCACAAATGATTTTCGCTCTCTTAACATTAAGGGCATACGATACAGTTACAGGGTCAGGGGAGGCAATGACGTTGCTAACGTAAAATGTTATTTTGGCGACGTCAAACTGTGACATATCGGGAAAAGATGTATAGACGTATTTACACTTGTATGCAAATTTGTCTGCCATTATGTAAAATCACACAGGTTCCCGTAAACTTTGACATCATAATTCAAAACATTTGACGTCACAATTTAAAAGTGATTGTTGCCTGACGTCAGAAGGTGATTCAGAGTAGATCTAAGGTGATTCGGAGGCAAAATATAGCTAAATACCAAAAGTGTAAATACGTTTATTTTTCGACTGATTTTTATCATTCAAACTGATTTAACTTGAAAACGAGTTCGTGGACCCCTCTTTTTTTAAAATGACATTCGGTTTGATTACGTATGAAGATTATTTGTACCAAATTTCATGAAAAAGTCAATAATGCAATTTTTTAAATTTGATAAATATATACATGATATAGCAAAAAATTACGTTTTTTTCTATATTCATGAACATTTGATGAATTTGAGTTATTTCTAAACAAAAGATTTCATAAATTTACAAATAATTTAACAAAAAACAGCTTGTGTTTATCTTTTAAAACAAAAAAGTTATGCATTTCTGTCGGAAGTAAAAATACGTCGACAAATCCGAATTTTGAGCAAAACTCTGAAATTTCGAACTCATTTTACTTTAAAAGTAGCACATGAAGGTATATTTTTTATTACATATTTGATTTAATCAGGTAAAAAATAGCCTATTTGCAAATTTTCTTCAAATTTTCATTATGGGATCAAAACTGTATCGTATGCCCTTAAATCCCCTTAATCAACTGTTAATAATTGTTCCATGATGAAACTTTACATGTTTATGAACATGTTATCCTTCAGAAGGTGCGTCACAGACGAGGTAAAACTGTATACATAAACTTGATATAGCCTATTCTGTGCACATGTACAAAATTTTTCAGAGTGGGGAAGATCCTCATATTAATTAAAATGGGTATTATCTCCATTTAAAGGTAATTGTTGAAGACCAGTTGTTGTCTGAAATTCACAGTCTTTTTAAATTAATTTTATAGGAACTCATTTATTTTAATTTAAAAAGAATTATTCAAATATGACGACCTATATATCGTCCACCAGTATAATCAATATCTACTTTTAGCGCAGACGCATAGATGCACAACATTGGCTGTTCTGCGTAATGCCCATTTATTATTGAATAATATTGTATCATTAATATTATTATATGTGGGGTAAAACACAATAGCTGAAACAGCGTCATGTTTATAGGGCTTTCACTGTTAAATTCAAAATTATATAAAAGGGGAAATGGAAGATCTAAATAAAAATGCATAATTTTTACACCATTAATATAATTTCTTGAAACATTTGACATAATACCATCTGATGTTTAGTTCAATACATTAATTCTTGAAAAGTTTGACATAATACCATCTGATGTTTAGTTCAATACATTGATTCTTGAAACATTTGACATAATACCATCTGATGTTTAGTTCAATACATTATTTATTGAAACGTTTGACATAATACATGTACCATCTGATGTTTAGTTCAATACATTAATTCTTGAAACATTTGACATAATAGCATCTGATGTTTAGTTCAATACATTATTTCTTGAAACATTTGACATAATAGCATCTGATGTTTAGTTCAATACATTAATTCTTGAAACATTTGACATAATAGCATCTGATGTTTAGTTCAATACATTAATTCTTGAAACATTTGACATAATAGCACCACAATCAATGGTTGGGCTATAAAAAAGATATTGGTTGGTACATACCAGTCTATATTGATTCATACCAACATGTAATGCTTGTTGGCTTACATTGATTGTGGAAAACACAAGTTACTTCCACAGATTGGTCAAATTAGACTGTTTGGATTGTAGTCAGAATGACATGTCTGTCTACAATGATCTATGGATTGATACCTTGTCACCTAACCAAGTAACATATATGACTTGGTACTAGTGTTGGTCTCAAACAAGCCAGAGTATTTAATAAAACTAAAATTGATTTGATAGTTAAATTTTGATTTTAATAATTTTGTTTTAAATTTAGATATATATACTAGTATCAAATGGAAAGAAGACAAAGATCTAGATCTACTGAAAGGAAAACAGTAAAAAGACACAGAGGCTCTTCATCGCCTTCAGACTCTAGCCCGTCAAGAAAAAGCTATTTCAAAGTTCAATCTTGGATGAACAAGTCTAATTCACAAAACTCAGCACCGTTTTCACCATGGGACTTTGAAACTTTGGGAATTTATTATGATACCACAAACCTTTCTCTTGAAGAAGTCTTTTCTTTAGTGGAAAACAGATGTAATGATAAGATCAAAGACTTGCCAGAGTTTACACAATTGTTGATAAGATTAACAAAAGATTATTTCAAATTATCCTTGAAAAACTTTGGATTATTTGAAGCAAATAATAGAACAGAGGAGGATATTGAATTAGTAAAGGATAGCAATTGTCAGCTTAACTCGGATATCAACGAAGAAATTAAGAAATTGTCTGAATTCATCATTGACAGAGTTGATAATAGAGGGTAATTTAATAAGAAATATTAACAAAATATCAATTCTCTATGACCCTTTCTTGTGTACTCAAAACCTGCTTCATTGTTCCATTTTATAGTTTTGCTCTAAAATTAGTCTAGCTGGTACCATTATAATATGTATAAGTTACCTTAGAAACAATTGATGAATAACTATTTAAGTACCCTAAGCTTCTATATGTGTAAGTACGTGTCTGCAACCAATCAAACTATAATGAGGGGCCTGATGGGGGGGGGGGGGGTCTCATCACGATTCACGAGTTGATTTTTTTGTCAATCACGGTTTACAGAAAATAAATTTCCATGATCACGGATCACGAAAATATAAAAAAAAATAAATCTGTAGAAAAACGGATCACGATAGCGAAAATGCGCCGATCACGAAGAACGAAAATAACCCATCAGGGCTCTCTATAATATATGTGAGAAACTAAAGATTTATTTTGTATAGGTCTTTTTCATATGTCAAAGTTTTGTTAGAATTGTCAGGATTGTATTCCTTTAATTTTGAGTAGGATTTTTAGGTCCATTTTCTGTCATCTATATGCTTATATTATTTTTATCAATTTCTGAAACTGAAGAAAGGAATAATGTATAGTGAAAAATAAAACAACAAAAATACCAAACTCCAAGGGAAATTCAAAACAGAAAGTCCCTTATCAAATGGCAAAATCAAAAGCTCAAACACATCTAATGAATGGAAAATAACTGTTATTTATAAAAATTCCTTATGTCTCTCCTATCAATTTTAGTACATCAAATATAAATGACATCAAATTATACTTCAACTGGGAAATCAAGCAAAATTTTATGAAGTATGTCAGAATAACACTTTAAAACAGTTTCCTAACAACCTTAGTTTTGTCTTTATATAGCAGTTTAATCTATTTTGTTAAAAAATTGTAGAGGATACATTCTGATTGAAATATATGGTCTCTGATAATTGGATAATTGAATGTATTTTTTAATATGATGAATCAATAAAAAAAAAATTCAAACTTGAGGTAAACATTTAAATAATGTCATATTGTCTTTATAAAGACTTCCCCTTAAATATTCCAATCCTACAAATCAAAAGGTCAAAGTTTATGTTAAAAAATATTTCATGAAAAGGATAACCATGTTAACTTGCCCATCTTGCTTGATTGTGCTTCACTACCTGCCTCTAATTCTAGTAAGCACATTGGTATCAGGTGAGTTTTACATGTTTTTAGAGCTTCCAGTTTTAGTATAAGTCTTCCAAAATAATATATATAAAGAAGTCACAAAATCTTAAATGAAAGATGAATCTTTTTATAAAGTACAACTAATAATTGTGATATTTAATAATTAAAATGTTGGTTTTTTTTCAGGATATTTTACAAATGGTACTTAAATTTGAAACGTTTCCATTCTTTTGACCTGAAAAGATTTTTATTGACTCTCTGTCATAATTATGAAGTGAAGGAGAAGGATTTTCAGTTGCTTTTCATGAAGTTTACTGAGATTTTCTTGATGGAACCAATGTAAGTGTTTTTAAAATTTGTATTTTATGCATATTTGAAGAAAAAAAATGAAACAAATAAGACATAAATGCTCATGAGACAACAATAAATGAATTACCAAGAGTACTGTGGGTCCTATTTGATTTTTGAAGAAGTATTTTCATGTGTTTTTTTCTGAAGTTTTAATCTTGTGTGCATTATTTTTTTTCTTCATATTGTCATACAAAAGGAACAAAATTCATGTGCTAAATGTGAAATTTATGATCATACAGAGTTCAGTGCTATTAAAATGTGGATAATTGTTATTGTAACTGCACAATTTTTTGCCATAATTGTTGGAGGCTATGCGTTTACATCTGTGTCCTTTGGTCTTTGTTGGATAGTTGGTCTTATTAGCAATCATACCACATTTCCATATTTTTTATGAAAAAAAAATTATATTAATACAAGAAATAGTAACACTTAATAGCTTCTTTTTAGTGTCCCATACGCTCATTGATTCTTTATTCACAACAAACCAGAGTTTGCTTATTTTCAATAAATGGTTTTTAATGAATTCTAAACTAAAATTTGAAGATGTCCAAATTGCTAGTATATAAAAAAAGTTTGCTGTGTTTCTATTGGCATTCAGTTTTTGTCGAGCCTGCGACTTTTGTCGCAGAAAGATCGACATAGGGATAGTGATCTGGCGGCGGCAGCGTTAGCTAACTTCTTAAAAGATTTATATTTTAGAAGCTAGAAGATCTGGATGCTTCATACTTTGTATATAGATGCCTTATGATATGAAGTTTCCATCTGTCATATGTCCATTGTCCTTGACCTTATTTTCATGGTTCAGTGACTACTTGAAAAAAAAGTCAACCTTTTTTGTAATGTTTTTTTCTTTCTTATTATGAGTAATAGGATAACTATATTTAGTATATGTGTACCTTGCAAGGTCCTCATGCCCGTCAGACAATTTTCATTTGACCTCGACCTCATTTCACGGATCAGTGAACAAGGTTAAGTTTTCGTGGTCAAGTCCATATATCTGATAAAATAAGCAGTAGGTCTAGTATATTTATTATATGGAATGATTTAAGGTGTACATGTCCAACTGGTAGGTGTCATCTGACCTTGACCTCATTTTCATGGTTCAGTGGTCAAAGTTAAGTTTTTGAGTTTTGGTCTTTTTTTCTAATACTTTATGCAATAGGTCAACTATATTTGGTGTATGGAAATATTTTTCATAATTGTCTTAACTTTATGTCTTGTATTTGATTAATTTTAATACTAACGATTCATTTAATCACGGCTTGGGTCATTTAAATTCGTTTCGTTTTTATATCACGTGAAATATGTTCAACACACTAACGTTCCACTTGGACAATCAACAAAGGTGTTAATTACCGGTCACCATAAACATGTCATTTTAACTGTTATACAAACAAGTATGTTTACTCAGCTTTAATCTCTTTTGAAAATGATTAGGTTACATAAGAAATACATCTGATTTGAATTTTTATCATTAGGTCTGTATCTTTCGAAAATTCTTACTTTCGAACTTAGAGACATCGGGGTCAATTTAAATCAATAATACATCAATGGGACTATAAAATTTACTCGACTTAACCGAGTATTTGAATCAACCGAGTTCGACTCATCAGAGGTAATAATGCATTGATCAAACAGGAATTTTACCGGCACCGAGAAATTACTTCGACTCATCCGAGTTTTCGACACAACCGAGTTCGACACAACGAGGTTCGACTGTAGTTATAGTATTGTGTCTTTTCTTTAGACCAGGTGATTGCTGTGAAAGTAGTATTGAAATAAATGGTGAGATGTTGGTGTATGGTGCAGATATCAAGTATGAAAGACTCCAGTCAACAAAATCTTTCCTCAATGTTTATGTTAATGAGGTAAGCAAACAACTACAAAAGATCATTTATGAAATACCAGAGGTTGATAATACTTTGGACTTTGGACGGCAAATTAACATGTGGCAGGATTAAATAAGCTTGACTTCTCCACCATTCTCTAGTTTATCTAGATCAATGGAATAATAAATGGCACAGTGAAAAGGTACAATAAAATCACTTACCTGAATGATATAGGTATTATTGACAACAAAAACAGTAACAAGTTAACAAACACTAATTAATGCAGTATCAAACTGCTGTAACTGGTAGTTTCTACTGACCTAAAGGTATGTGTAGTTACTTAAAGCTCAATTTCTACTGATAAATAAACCATGTTTTCCCATAGCTTTTTTTCGTTTTGCTTCCTTTAGAAGTAGAGAATATCATGATCACATGCAATCATACTGTGAAAATGTATAAGAACTAAAAAGGATTGAATGTTCATGAAATCTAATATTTTTATACTATGTACATTGCATAGCAGACTAAGGCATGCTTGAAACGTGATTTTAAGAATTGATTTAATTAACTAATCTAGTTTGAATATGCATTTCTGATTTGTTTTGATTTAAGTTGAATTTCATTTCAGATAAATAAGGACAATAAAAAGTTATATGAAAATATTGATGAGGGAAAAGAAAACAGGGTTATCGACTCATTATCTGATGATCTTTTGGGAAAGGTTGCAAAAGAGCTCTTATTTGAAAGTCATAATTCTTGCTTTTGTCCTGGAGTTATTGGAATACTTTGCTGTGGAACAAAGGTAATTAATTTGATTGATGAAATGGGACAAAATGTGTGTCTTTTTTTTTTTTCTTTTTTTTGATTTTACCTAAATAAATCTGATAAAGTATAACAAATCTTTGAATAACATTAACTTATATATACATTTTGATACTGCCTCAGTGGTCTTGTGGTAGTCTGCTAGTCAATGTTTTTGGAGGGCCTCGGTGGCTAAATGATGAACGTAGTCCATCTACTGTTTCACAAGCCTGAGGTTGTGAGTTTGAACCATATATATTGTATGTGCATTCAACTCCAATCTTAAATGACGAGGATGATCAATTTTTCTGCCATGGTTGTGGTTCTCCAGCTTCCTCTACCAATTAAAACTGACTGCCACAATATAGCCAAAAGTGCTGAAAATGGCATTAGACACCAACAAGTGATTCAATGTTTTTGGTGTCAGGTCAAATCATATAATAAAATTGAGAATGGAAAATGGGTATGTGTCAAAGAGATAACAACCCAACCAAAGAGCAGAAAACAGCCCAAGGACACCAATGGGTCTTCAACACAGCAAAAAAATCCTGCACCTGGAGGCGGGCTTCAGCTGACCCCTAAACAATAATGTATACTAGTTTAAAAGAAGTCGGAGTCCAATGTTAGAATAGGTAACAGAAGAAAGTAAGCAAAATGACAATGATAAACATAAATTAACAAAGGACTTCTAGCAGATATTTACATGCCAGCTCCAGAATATTAATTTGAAATCTATTGTTTTTTTGCTAGGACATTTCGGGGATATAGGATAGACAAGTAGACTCAGGATGATGTGTCCAGTTAGTGTGAGAAAACATACCTTTATCCGTTTCATACCTATTTTCAAGTATGAACAAAATTGTCAGATGACTCTTAATAGGAGTAATTTCCTTAAACATGTTAAATGATGATTTTTGTCGCAGAAAGCTCGACATAGGGATAGTGATCCGGCGGGGACATTAGCTAACTTCTTAAAAGCTTAATATTTTAGAAGGTGGAAGACCTGGATGCTTCATACTTTGTATATAGCCTTATGTTACGAAGTTTTCGTCTGTCACATGTTCATTGTCCTTGACCTCATTTTCATGGTTCAGTGACTACTTGAAAAAAAGTTGAGATTTTTTGTTATGTTAATTTCTCTCTTATTATGAGTAATAGGATAACTATATTTGGTATATGCCTACCTTGCAAGGTCCTCATGCCCGTGAGACAGTTTTCACTTGACCTCGACCTCATTTCATGGATCAGTGAACAAGGTTAATTTTTGGTGGTCAAGTCCATATCTCAGATACTATTAGCAATAGGTCTAGTATATTTGGTGTATAGAAGGATTGTAAGGTGTACATGACCAACTGGCAGGTGTCATCTGACCTTGACCTCATTTTCATGGTTCAGTGGTGATAGTTAAGTTTTTGTGTTTTGGTCCGTTTTTCTTATACTTTATGCAATAGGTCTACTATATTTGGTGTATGGAATGATTGTAAGGTGTACATGTCTAGCTAGCAGGTGTCATCTGACTTTGACCTCATTTTCACGGTTCAGTGGTCCACGTTAAGTTTTTGAGTTTTGGTCTTTTTTCTAATACTATATGCAATAAGTCAACTATATTTGGTGTATGGAAATATCTTATGATGTACATATCAGTCTCACAGGTTTTATTTGACCTTGACCTCATTTTCACGGTTCATTGCTCAATGTTAAGTTTATGTGTTTGATTCTGTTTTTCTTTAACTATAAGCAATAGGTCAACTATATTTGTTATATGGAAGGATTGTAAGCTGTTCATGTCTGCCTGGCATAGTTCATCTGACCTTGACCTCATTTTCACGATTCATTGGTTTTAGTTTTAGTTTTCTTGGTTTAGTCTGTTTCTTAGAAACTATAAGCAATAGGTCAACTATATTTAGTGTATTGACTGATTGTAAGGTGTACATGTATTTCTCTTTTGGTTTATATGACCTTGACTTCATTTTCTTGGATCATGTTAAGTTTTAGTTTTCTTGGTTTAGTCTGTTTCTTAGAAACTATAAGCAATAGGTCAATTATATTTAGTGTATTGACTGATTGTAAGGTGTACATGTATTTCTCTCTTGGTTTATATGACCTTGACTTCATTTTCTTGGATCATGTTAAGTTTATGTAATAGTTGTAGTAAAGCTTTCATTTAGGACTATCAACATAATATCAATGGTTAGTAAAGAAAGCAAGACATTTCAGCGTGTGCACTCTCATTACTACATGTACTATAAATTCAGAAATTATTGCATGCATTTATTAATGTGATTTTTAAAGGTTAAACAAAAATGTGAGATTAATTTTCATCTTTATTTTCAGATAATATTTTTATACTGTGAAATTACTCCTAGTCACTGGAAATCAGCTATGGAGAAAACAAATCCTTCTGGAGATGGTTTTCACAGCACTATTCATTTTACAAAAGCATATGATTATATGAGTGCAGAAGACAGAAATGAAATTATTCCTTATCTCTTTTGGCTTGGATATGTCCAATCATCAAAATATGAAATTTTTGATATATCTTAATATAATGTATTAAAACAAACAAAAGTAAGAATTGTTACTTTTGTTTTAATCATTTTAACTTTATTACAAGGAGATTATGAAACTATGCTTCTTTATTGACTCCTCTTAACAAAGTCACAGAGGTGTGCAATAGTTTTGCTGTCTCAAGGGTCCGCAATTGTTCTGAGTTTGTGATAGGTCAGTTTAAGGTCAAGGTCCAGAAAATGGGCTATGTCACAGATTTTTGTCTCGCCTCAAAATGCTAGACAGAGGGATAACTATCCAGCGGTGGTGTAAACCCTGGTGTAAAGCTTTATATTTTAGAAGACCTTGATGCTTCCTACCTTGTATGCATATCTATCCCTTATGTTACAAATTTTCTGTATGTCATTTGTCCATTGTTCTTGATCTCATTTTCATGGTTCAGCGACTGCATAAAAAATATGTTGAATTGTTTGTGATGTGAATTACTCACTTATTAAGAGTAATAGGAGGATAACTATACTTGGTATAGGGGATCCTTGCAAGGTCTACATTGTCTGTCAGACAAGATTGATTGATTCACCTGGCCTCAACTTTATTTCATAGATCAGTAATCAAGGTTAAACTTTCGTGATCAAGTCCGTATCTCAGATACTTTAAGCAATAGGTCAACTATATTTGGTGTAAGAAATTATTTCACTGTGTACATGTCAGACTGGCAAGTTTCATCTTACCTTGACCTCATTTTCATGGTTCATTGTTCAATGTTAAGTTTTTGTGGTTTGTAGATATAAGATGTGGTATGAGTGCCAATGAGACAACTCTCCATCCAAGTCACAATTTGTAAAAGTAAACCATTATAGGTCAAAGTATGGCCTTCAACACAGAGCCTAGGCTCACACCGAACAGCAAGCTATAAAGAGCCCCAAAAATGACTAGTGTAAAACCATTAAAACAGGAATACCAACAGTCTAATCTATATAAAAAACGAGAAACGAGAAACACTTATGAACCACATCAACAAATGACAACCACTGAATATCAGGTTCCTGACTAAGGACAGGTGCAAACAAATGCAGCGGGTTTAAACGTTTTAATAGATGCCAACCTTCACCCTACCTGAAACAATAGTGTAACATCACAACATAGAAAGACACACTATAAAATATCAATTAAAATGGCTTAACTCAATCAAAAGACATATTAACAAAAACAAGTGAACATACACTGAACGAATAAATTAGATCTATGACACAATGTCAATACAAAATTAATAAAACAAGGAGTTAGATGTAAAACAATATCAGAAAGACAACCATAACCTTGGACAATATGCCACCAAATAAAATAACTAACGTAAACGGGTAAATAAAAATAATTTTGTAGTAAGGTATACATGGAGTACAGAAATAATTTTTACAAAATAAATAATTTTGTTGTTCCTAGTATTGGTCTATTTCTCCAATACTATAAGCAAAAGGAAAACTATATTTGTGTATACATTTGTGTAGTATGATTGTAAGGTGTAAATGTCGGTCTGGCAGGGTTCATCTGACCATGACCTCATTTACATGGATCTTTGATAATGTAACTTTTATGTGATACTTGTAGTAAAACCTTCATATTACAGACTTTCAACATAAATTCAATTATGAATAAGTAAAGCATGCAAGACATTTCTGCATGTAAACTCTTGTGGTAGAATTTTTCATACAACTTTGGCTCTTTGAAATTCAACTGAAAATTTAAAGTTCAAACAAGACCAATACCAGGTCTGGACCTGTGTCGCTGCATGTATTTGATTGTGGTTGCATGTATACTGAAGTATAACTGATCAATCCCTTTCATTGAAATTTCCTTGTACAATGCATGTTGTAAAATTTCAAACTATTCTCAAACAAGAAGTGGCTGTAAGGCAGATGTAAAAATTGCTTACACACTACAACTCATCATTATCAATGCAAGCTGCAGACCAAATATAAAATCATTCCCTTCAATACAAGCTTAGGAAACTTTGACAAAAAATTTCCTTTGTACAATGAGTGTTGTAAAATTTCAAACTATTGGCAAACAGGAAGTGGCTGCATGTCAGATGTAAATATTGCTTACACACCACAACTCATCATTATCAAGCTGTAGACCAAATAACAAATCATTCCTCCTTAAATACAAGCTATCCAAGGTATTTTGAATGGGTGGTCTGACAGACGGACATATGGACGGAGTAGAGTGGTTACTAGACCTGCTCTTGGCTTCGGTAACACAGGTAAAAATAATTCATTTATCTCATAATTTGAATGAATTCTTTAAAAATAGTTCAAAATTTGTATAGAAAGCACATAAAAGGTGAAAAGGGTGCTTTAATATGTTTTGATATCAAATCTCCAATTACAAATGCATAGATTTTTCCTAAAAATAGAAATGTTGTTGATACATAAACTTCTGTTTGATTGATAAACATTGTTTCAAGATTTCCCATATTATTGAATGAATGTGCTAAAATCATAGAATAGTATAAGACATTGTTCAAGCATACTTGTTATTGAATGAATGTGCTAAAATCATAGAATAGTATAAGACATTGTTCAAGCATACTTGAGTTAAAGATGGATAACTTTTACCAATAATACATTAGCCTTCAACAGGCATGTAAATGAATCCAGAAGTCTATGCTGAATAATGATTTTCTTTCTTTCTATACAAGCAGATGCAAAACTTCAGTATGTGTAATATGTCTTTCAAGTTTTAAGGATAATGGTTGAAAAGTGTAGGAGTGTATTACACAATATTGACAATATCTTTTTTGGTTAATTTTGCTGAAATATGACTAGGTTCCCAAATCGGGAAAAATAGAGAAAATTTCTCAAACAATTCCATAAGAACAGAATCACTACTTCAATGTTTGAAACTTGAAAACTAGAAGTTGAATTACAAAAAATAGGTACATGTATCCACTTTCCCCCACCTTCCCATCCGAACTATTATCCATATTTGCACTTGGTGCAACCAGGCCAAAAACTAAATTATTTATTTACTGAGAAACTATCTGGTAATTATTTTACTACAAACTAATACTGTAAATTCAGAAATTATTGTGAGGTTTTTATTACAGGGAATAATGCAACCTTGTGAGTATCGCAATAATAAAAAGTTGCATTCTGATATCTGATGCATATATCTGTATACAGCTTTTCCTGAAATCCCAATAATTAATCTTGCATTATTGTCCTTTCTTCAAAAATCGTGATAATTTCTGAATTTACAGTACTCCATGAAAGTCATGAGTATTTAAACAAAAGAGCTGCTCTCATCCAGCTTTGAACCAAATGCCTTACCAATATTGCTCTAGCATAAAGTTACGATTACTTTTTCTTGAAATGGTTGCTGTTGCTGAAATATAACCCATATAACTCAAGAATGCTCAAGCTAGGATCAAGCTATCTTTCTAGTATTATTGTGTTACAAAATTAAGTACTAGAGTTGCATTTAAAAGTAATCTTGGTCAATTTTTTAATCATCAGAAATTTGCAATAATGAATGCACACCTTGATCTATGCATTAAGGGTCCATAATTGTGGTATACATCTAATTAATAAATACATTCAAATTTCAATATTTATTTCTTCTTCCAGCACCAAACAAAATATACACAATTGACAATTTGAGTATCTTCCAATACAAATTCTGACTGTCTTTAAAAAAAAAACTTGATTTTGTACTATTGAATGATTTTGAAATCTACTAAATTCAATCAATTACTCTTATTTCTTCTGTTGTCATAAAATAAAGCAGTGATAATGATTGGTCTCTATAGTTCAAGAATACTCTACAGATATGAGCATTGATCAACAAGTGGTACTTAAGTACATTTTAACAAACAATATCCATTTAAACTACAAACACAACAAGTATAACCTTAACTGTTCTTCTTAAACACATAGTTTGTTTTAAACAATCATTTTGATTTTTCAAGCATACAAAACTTGCACTCATGAAATTTTGAATAACCAATGAAATCTTAAGCTATTTTTATCAACCAATCATCTAGGTCCTTCATTTGTGGTTTACTTTCAGCATCTTTTCCCTTCAAGCTACACTCTACAAAGTCTACTTTCATTGGTTTCAGATCATCAAAACTGAAATCCTTGTTACGTTTACCAAGAAATGTGTTGTTGTTCCCTGAACTTTCAATCTGCTGCAATGAGGCCGACCTTGTTACTCTCAATGTGTTCCTAAAATATCAAAAATATTTGAACAATTTGTTTTATTGGCAAATTTACAATTTCTTCCATAAAACTTTTGATACTGGTTTTGTTAAGTCTGAGATTGCTCTGACATCTGACAACCTAAGAAGTTGTGATCTTATAATATTTCCTCACAGCACTTGTGAACATGGGAGCTAAATTATGCAAAAAAGGGGGTTAGTATGTGAATAAAAGTTACATGTTCGTGGAGTAATATGAATAAGGAATCAAATAATGTAGGATTTATCTACTTGAAAATGGATCTGCAATTTCAAGATAGAAACTTGCCGCACCAAGTCCAGGTCAGCAATTTCCATGTTTAATACATTGACAGTGCTCTGACGTCCCACAACCCTAAAAAGTCCATCAAACAACAGAGCAATCTTGGACTAGTTTTGATTACACTTTAGTAATGCTGTATCAGCGACTTCTCTAATTACAGCCATTACAAATGTACTATTAACCTCTGAAAAGAACTTCAATGTACATGACAGGTTTCTGGTATATCCTTCATCAGGTACACTCGAGACAAGAACTTCGGAAAGCCAAATACATGACAATTTCATTCAATTCAATATTTTATTTACGTCTCAATTTATGCAGGTATTGAGTTTGAAATTTGTTTTACAATATCAAAATAAAGAGCTGCGCCATGAGTGCATGATACGCCCGTCCCTTTTTCAATGAATAAAGTTCCATAACTCCTCAATGTCATATCAGAAATTTATAAAAATAGGGAGGTTATTTTATTAGATATAAATCAGTCACCAAAGTTTCATGAAAACTACTCAAAGCACTTTTGAGTTATTGTCCGAAAATTGGAAAATTAACCCTTTTTACATATATAATCCCATAACTCAGAAACTTAAAATCTAAAATTCATAAAAACATATATAAACAATTCACCCAAAGTGTTTTGCAAATTTATGAAAGTGTTTTTGAGTTGTTGTCCGAAAACTGGAAAATCCCCCTTTTTTAATGAATAAACCCCATAACTCGGAAATGTAAAATCTAAAATTTATAAAAATCTAAAGGGAGCTTACAACCATAGATATAAACAATTCACCAAAGTTTCATGCAAATTGGTTAAAAATTTTTGAGTTACTGTCCGACATGTTGACGATAGACGGACGGAAGGACGGACAACGGTATACCATAATACGTCCCATAAAAGGGCGTATAATAAGAAGATGTGGTATGTTTGCCAATGAGACAACTCTCCACAAGAGACCAAATGACACAGAAATTAACAACTATAGGTCACTGTACGGCCTTCAAAAATGAGTTAAACCCATACCACATAGTCAGTCCATTTGGACAAGAGCACTGAAAGCATTGATAGATTGTTTGGATTTAACTTTCACTTGTCTGGGCTGGGAAAATGGGATAAATGTTGATGTAAAACAAAATATAGAGTTCTATTTGAAATAACAAAATCAAAAACAACAGTAGCAAAATACTCCTCAAAGATACCAGGCCTATAATTTGGTACACCAGATGTGCATATTGTCTATATTAGACTCATCAGTAGTATTCAAAATCAAATCTGTTGGAAGGCCAAATCATATACAAAGTTAAAAGAGTTCCAATGTCCCCCGTGTTGCACATATTTTATATTTCCAAGGGGCATAACTCTTTTAAAAAAAGTCGATCGTCCACCATTATACAACTTGTCTGAGATATTGCTGATATTAACCTATAGTACAAGTTTTATAAAAGTCTGGCAAGAATTGTACCTGTGAGAGCGCTAACAAGAACGGACGGACGGTATTTCAGTGTACTCTGCAATGCATTACGCGGGAGACAAAAGCGAAAATTTCAAAAGGTTGTGCCAAATACAGCTAAGGTAATCTATATCTTGGGGTAGCAATACCTTTGGTTTTTGAATTATTCAACATTTTATAAACAGTTAGTTTACAGAAAATGAAAATATCAATGATATTTCATGTCAACACAAAAGTGTTGACTACTGAGTTGGCTATACCATCCAGGACAAATCATCAACCAGCAACAGTATTGACCCAGTGGTAATGCTCAAATAAAATACAGTTACATTAAAAGCACAATAAACAATATTTGCTTATCTGACTATTTAAATTTCCATTCTGTTAATATCAATCAAATGAACTTTTTTATTTAGATTCAGTGTTAAAAGATGTTACACATAAACAACACATGTACTTACATTTCTTTTTCTAATTGTGACCTTATAACCTCAGCTCCTTTTGACATTAAAAGGTCCTGTTTGTTACATGCTATCAATACAGGTGGGATATTGTATGATATAACGCTGTCACTTAGTGCTGTGTATAGATAACTAAAAATAAAATATAATTAAATTTTACTATGTCTGAGGTAACAATTAATGAAGTCAGATGATCACTAACAACTCTTCTTACAGAAACTATAAAAATTTCTCTATCAAAGCCGCTAAGCTTCCATCAATAAAAATCTCTTTATATTTCACAAAAAAATCAATTCAATCGAGCATAAAATAAAATCAAGTCACAAGCATTTAATTGCTATGTTTTGGGAGTGTCCTTTTTATAAGAGTTATTGTCATACTAATGTATACTCTATTTTTCATCTTACTGATTTCATGAGAACATTTATTTTCAATATTAACTTACTCTGCAACGTCTTTAATTTCTTTCTGTAAAGTTGAACTGTCAATCACAAATATTATACCCCTGGAAAAAAATAAACAAGGTTGTAATAATGCTGACCCTTTAAATAAATTGAAAAATTTTAACCTTGGTTTTAACCTTTAATAAACTATAAAACTACATAAACAAACAGTTTAAAGACACAGACTTTACCAAATTCTTCCATAGATACAAAGATTTGGTTTGGAAGTTTGGCTGTACCTGTAGACAACTTATTTCAAACAGGATAGCAATATTTACGGTGATGATGTCTACTGAGTGTGGAGATTAAGATACGATCCAGGTAAACTTATGGATCCTTTAAAAAAACTTATTCTAAAAGGTTACCAATTCAACACTGTAATTAGATCTTTGAATATTGTTTTTATTGGTATAAATATTGATGTTATCAGTAAATTAACACATACTTAATATTATTGTTATACACATTAGCATTCATGGTTCTACAATCTGTCGATACCTATATTATGGCATTGCACAAGGTCATGTTTTTCTCCGACTGTTAATGACCTCTTTAAAATCAATTGGATGTTGGATGTGTACTGATTGATATATTAGTCTTAGATACATGATTTTTTTTTAAAGTTGTTATTGGCTTTGAACTAGCTGTCAGTAACTGTGAGTACTCTCAGATCTGTACTTTGTCTTTTTTGTTATGGGGGGTGTATAAATTCCCTGCCATGCCCAGTCTGTGATTTTGTTAGTTGTTTTTCTGATTTGTATTGATCTGATGAGTAAAGCCCTTTTCAACTGATTTTTATTGTTTGTTCTTATGTTGATCTGTAACACCACTGTCCCAGGTTAGGGGGAGGATTTGGCGACAGAAAAAATGTTTAACCCCGCCACATTCTGTATGTGTCTGTCTCAAGTCAGGAGCCTGTAATTCAGTGGTTGTTATTTGATGCTGTATATCATTTTTGTTTTTCTTTTATTGTTTCGTTCATAAATCAGGCCTTTAGTTTTCTTATTTGGATTGTTTTACATTTGTCATTTCAGGGCTTTTTATAGCTTACTATGCGGTATGGGTTTTTCTCATTGTTGAAGGTGGTACAGTGACCTATAGTTGTTAACTTCTTTGGTCTCTGGTGGAGACTTGTCTCATTGGCAATCATACCACATCTTATTTTTATATTTATGATTTTTTTGTGGTTATCATTTAAAATTTGAAATAATTTTATTTGTGGTATCACAATATGACAGGTTTGAACAATATACAGTCTATTTGTAAAAAATAAAATTTGATAAGAATTTTCATCAATCAAAACACTGAATAAAACCCCATGAGATCTGGTAAAAGTATACTTAAAGCCTTTACTTTACCTTGCTAAGCTTTTATACTGGTGCAGCATTGTCTGTCTTAATCTCTCATGTCCTGGTACATCAATTATCCTTAAACTCTTAGTCTGCAAATCACAAGTTAAATGTGCAGTAGAATTTCATATATCTATAAATAGCTTTTTAGTACGAGAAAAAAAAAATGACTCAATTCAGTAATTAATAGAACTAAATTATTATAAATTTGAACTTTTTATTTCCTCAAAAATAATATGCGAGATACATTACAGTACTATTTTTAATCTTATATAATATACTGATCAGATGTAGTGAGAGCTATCACTCACTTATTTATCAAAAATGACCAAATATCAAGAAGCTCTGATTTTTAGTCTTTTTAAATAATTTTCTTAAACATGCATCTACATGAATAACATACATTTATACTGAAAAAGTTCAAATATATTTAACTGAATACTGGAATCTTTCAAGGTAGAATGTATAGATGCTAATATGACACATTGGTACCCAATATTAAAGAGCGCAACTTTGTAGTTGCTGAAAAAAATGCAACAAAAATGTGTTACATTATGGATGGACGAACACAACAGAGGGAAACCACTCCAGTATATACAACCCTCATTTGGAGTTGGGTGTAATTAATGTAAAAGCATACATGTGTATTTCAATTCATTTTTCATTTACATATTTTGAGTTGGAGAAATTCTACTTTACACTATCAACTAAGGATGTTTCTGGCAGGTTCGATGCCCAATTCATATATGTTCCTCATGTCATTTTGATGGTATTAATCATAACTTATTCATATTCTCAAAAGTGTAGCAGCTATTTAGTCACTCATTTTGTACAACAAATTTTAAATTTGACTATGCTGTATGGTTCATTGAAATCTTACAAATTACAATTCAATTTTCTACGACTTGACCTAAACAAACACTAAAGGAATTTATTATATGCTTGTAATATGGTCATGCAACTCAAAGATGCATCTCTGCAGTAAATTACATCCCTTTAATTACCCATTGAGTCATTAAATAAAGCAGAACTATTTTGTATCTACAGTACCTTTCCTTGAACTTGGTAACTTCCAGAATTACTGGCTATTGAGGTAAAGGTGTCTGTGTAATTCTGATGAACAAGCTGCAAAAAAACCCAGTTACAGTTAAAACATGGACATACATGTGTATATTTGTATACAAATATAAAAGTATCATTACACATGTACCATTTTGCTACCTCTCACATTGATTTTACAAAATAACAAAATACTTTCTGACAGACAGCAATTTGTGGTTCTTGCCTTGTATAATGGTAGGTAAGGATACTTAAAAATTGTTAATCTAAGAAAAACCACAAGATGAATGTTTGTATTTAACTCCATATGTGTAGCTGTAATGAATAGAGACAGAAAAATACATTTAATCACACCAACTTATATGTAACTTATAAATCTAACACAAAGTTTGTGATGCATGGTTGGATTGGGATCAAATAAAGTCTGTGAATTAAGTGTGTTGAGTATATGTTTTGAACTTACCCTGGTATACAGAAGAGTTTTCCCCGATTCACATGTTCCCAACAACAGCACACCACTTCTCTTGTTGGATTTTCCTTTACAGACAAGGATTACTGAAAATAAAAAAGTCTATTAACAAATATTTATTTTATATGAAGGTTTTACTATATTTCGGGATTTTGTACCAATTTTTCGAATCTATACCAACCTTACCTGGATTTCAAGGGGCTGAGAATAACCACATACAATCATAAAAAGCCCATGCTATATTATGCATGCATAAAATGTTTATAATGGAGGGGAGTGTTGCATTTTGTTTTTAAATATAATATTGCATTGAAAAAAAATGTTTCTCACTCAGTATTTGGATGATTTTTTTAATAGAAATAATGTATAAGCCAAAAACATGCAACCCATTTGAGCTATAGTATTATTTATTTTATAGATTTTCAAACGAAGTTGAAAGCCATGAAATGTACAAGGGGTCTATTATTTTTTTATCTTAAGCCACTGTCTACCAGCTCTCTGCAAAATAATTTATTACTGCTGTTCCTTATCCAAGAAAATTGCTAGAGTAAATTTTATTAATTAAGAATATTCTATAGGTAAGAAGGTGTAGAGCAATACAACCCAGTTCTTAGCATACTAATTATATATAAAGATACTAAACTGACTTAGAAAGTGAACTTTTTCAATAGTTCATTTGCTAATTACCTATTTGATTCTGTTATTACATGTACATACCATTTAACACAAATTGCTTTCCTTTGTTAATCATAGACTGGTACCATTTCAAACAAAATTGGCTTTTGCCAACATAAAGCATGATAAGTTGAAAATGATATATATCAGCGTTTTAGCCAATTTTAATAGTGAAAAATAACTACTAATATCAAAAGTTTTTAGCTTATCAAAAATTAAATATAACAAGCATTCTGTGAGTATTGCATGGCAATACATAGTCCCCTACCGGTTACAAATTCTTTGTAATGGAACTAAATTCTAACTTGATTTATAACTTGTCATGGTGTAAACTACATAAAAATATCAAGTCAAATCTTCAAGCATGACGAAAAAAACTGTTGAAAACTGATTATTTAAGTGAATTTTCTATGCCCAAAATTATCTGACTGGAACAAAATTCCAACTTGATCTGTAACTTGTCATGATAAAACTATATACTGAATATCAAATCAATATCTTCAAGAATGACAAACAAACCTACCACTAAATTCTTCAAACTATTTAACAAAGAAAAGGAAAAAAATCCAAAATGTCATTTTGTCTTTTAAAAATCTTTTAAAAAATGAGTTATTTCCCTTTGAACAGAAATCTACTTATTAATAAGTATTTCATCAAAAAATTTAATTCTAGGGAAAGGGTTTTAACTGAACAAAGAGAAAAGCTAAAATCGTGAAAATTGAACTTGACCTGAAACTTGTCATGATAAATCAATAAACCAAATATCAAAATAATATCTTCAAGCACGAAGAAAAAAAGTCTGAAAAACTTTTTTGCCGGACTGACAGACTTCGTCGGTAGGTGACTAATAAAAAGATCTGAAAAACTTTAATGTTACACACATTATGCACAGATAAATTTGCTCTTTCTGCTAGCTCTCCATTGTCAATGAAATTTTATGTCCCTCCTAAGGGAGACAACTAAAAAATTGATCCCTTAATTATCACAGGGTCAATTACAGGAATTGGCAAACAGACTATTAGTCAATTATGAAAGTTGCAAGTACTTCCTTCCTCAAATACATGACATATACAGTACACACAATCAACAAGTTTCCTCACATACTTATCTGAGACAACTTCACTTGACAATTTTTAACAAATTGACATTTTATTCATATCATATACATTATGTAATACAGCTTGAGTATACTGAATTTTTGTCACAAGATACTTGTTTTCAAATCTTATATAGAGACATACATTTAGTGACTTATGTGTATATTAGAGATATGTGATGGTGATAAAAATGGTTGAGTCATTAACCATATTTCTTTTAAAAAACTACCATATATATATCATTTAACCAAATTTAAGTAGGAGATTGAATTTTTCTTGTTTTTTTTTTCTTTTTCTTTTTTTACTTTAAGAGGAGGTGGTCACTGCAAAATGCATTTCAATTTATTATATATATAATTATATAATCTATATATATATATCCAGCAATGCCTCAAAACTTTCCCAGGTACAAATGTACACATATGAGTTTGTACTAAAGAGTTTTAAACAAGACCATAACCCCTTTTGGGATCTGAATGGGGAGCAATTTTCTGATTTGACAGCCCTAATTAGAAAATAACTCAGGACAGGGTTTCCACTGGTGGTTGCCATTATCACATTTTGCAAATTAATAATAATTGTGGCGATTAAAAATCATGATTGGCAAAAGAATTTGGGGAAAGAAATACAACAGTAAGAATTTGGCCATCTTCTTAATTATGGTTCAGGTTATCTGACTTTTTCCCTGATCAGACAATACTCAGATTTCACCTTGAACTCATCATGTGTACCGATTTTAATACAAAATCAATAATCAGCTGATTGCATTTGGTAGCAATTTTTGGCAACAATGGACTAATAAATGTAGGTGTTAATTGTATTGGTTAATGAAAATGTGCTGTAAAATGGTGTTACATGTCATCTAAAGAATTGTTTTAACAACTACAAAAATGTTATTGTTTTGAAGAGGGTACTTCACATCGTTTTAGTGTTGCACCTGCTGTTTTACTTCTTAATTTTTACTTTTAAGGATGGTCCAGAAAATAAAACTAGTGTTATAAAGAAAGGGTCAAAGTAAGAAAAAGATTCACAATGGTTCATAATAAGCTGTCTTACATGTAGTATCTTTGTCATTTTAGAGGAAAAGTTATGATAAATTTAATTAAATAATACTTCAATATGAAAAAGCGTCACCTGAAAATAGCATTCTTTTCTTACATCAAAAATGGCATCAACAGAACTTCAGCTGGGAATTTTTTTTGGCAATTTAGTAAAGATTTATTTATTGTTCAGCCCTCAATCATAAAGCCAATGATGTGGGGTATCTCAAAAGTTACCTGTCCCACGATTTCCTTAGAATCACAAAAAACTCAATATGAATACAAAAACCAATAGATATTAACCGAACATTTTACTTGTTATGGAGTAGTACTGATTTAATCAGGAACATATATTGACGGGACTTGACACTACCTAGTTACATGTATAGCCAATTTTATCGTGGGGTCATAGTTAATAAATGACACGATACAGAAACGGACATGTGTAAAATATGTACTCGCTATTATCTTAATAATTTCTGATAATATCAATAAAATGTCATTCAAACTAAGTAATAAGTAATGCCAGTGTATTGAACTTGTAATCTGTCACTTCAAATTTGTCACAATTGCATTCGTTTCATCACAGAAGGGTACAGAATGCAAACGGAGTAATAAAAAATGGTGCCGATGGCATTCCCAGTAACCGCGAGTTTCATAAACCATTATAAAACACATCACATCAAATAAATCATACTTATATTGGTCATTTTATATGACAAAATATATCTTCTTTACGATAAAACTTGTATTTGTTGAACGTTTGGAATTATGTGGTTAATTTATCGAGCAGTTCAGATAGTTTTTCAGTCAGACGCTTCCAAAATCGATAAATCTTTCGACGTCTCATAAAGTTCGGGATTTTATAATTTTATACTGAAAAGCCTATCAGATTCATTTCCCGTTAGATAAACTGTTCCCAGCTTTAATAGATATCAAATTTTTACTCCAAGAAAGAACAATATAACTTCATGAATTTGATGTCTTTAACTTTTATGCAAGTTCCTTGTATAACAATATGGCAATGTAATTATTCAAACTTTATCATGGAAGGCGTAAGGTATGCCCGTGCCTTGTGCAATGTACCTTTGTAGTTTTAAATTTTCCTAATTAAAATAAGCAACTTTTCTATAGTTTAAAATTTATAACATATTTATCATAGGTATTTAACTTTTGAATAATTATGTCCGCCATATTGTTATACAAGGAATTTGCACACAAGACACACAAATCAAAAATCTGAAATTAAATTGTACTTTTATTGAGTAAAAATGACAAATATATATATCAAATGGAAAGTCTTAATATAATAATAATCAATAAAAACAGAATTACACCATATAAAATTGAGTTTTCAGGTTATATCTAGTATCTGTTCTCTGGTTCATATTGAGTTTTTATGAGTTTCGCGAAATCATTGTACCCAAAAGTTACTGATTGTTTTTAAATGATACTGATAGTGATATAATTAAATGTCATAATTCGTAAAATAGTTGATGACCATAGAAATAAGATTCAAAATCATTTTTGTTTAGTTTTAATTTTGCAAAAATCAGTATTTAAATACATATTTAAAGGGATCTAATGGTAACACCTGCCTCATATTAATATAGATAAACTATAAAATTATCGGGATAAAACATATGGCCACATTTCTTCATGCGATTGCAACATTTCTTGGGTATAGTAAAATATCATGTGTTACCTATCGTAAGCAAAACAACTAAGCTTGCTACTAAGATGCCTATAGTTGTAGGATCCTGTTTCTGGACATTGTCAGTCAATACATTTGCGTATTGTATAATTTGTTCCTGAATGCCGGCTCCCATGTTGTCAGTCAACGTCAACTTCCGGTATCAATAACTGCCAGACTAAAGACGGAAATCGCAGCGTATTCCGACTTTTCCCTTAAAAAAGGCGTAAAAAGGCGGAAACAACCGAACATGTCAGAATATGTTACTTACTTTAAAAGTTATTAAATTCAGGATCCTTACGGTTATTTACCACCAGACTCACATAGTGTGATTTGTTCTCTGTTATTTCTGTTATAGCTTACGTTTTTTTTTTATCAAATTTATTATCAATTAATTATTTAAAAATTTTATCAAAACGTAGATTTTACCAAAACAAAAACAAAAACAATTTTTTTTTTTTTTAGTTTGATGTTGTTATTACTTTTTGTTTGGTCATATATTTTTGTATTATCAATTTTTACAATTTTTCTTTGTTTTTAGTTTATATTTTTTATTGTTTTTTTTCAAGTTAATATTACATTTTTAATTTTAATTTTTTAGTTGAAGATAAAAAAAAAAACACGATTGCCTGTTTATTTCAGGTGTGGATAAGTATCAATGAGCACATCGTGATCGAATGCATCCTTGAAGGTTTCTGTAGTAGTGTTTTTAGTAATGTCAGGGGATAATTTGTTCCAGTCTTTAATGGTTGACAAAAGAATGAAAATGTGTAGCTGTCTTTATATTACATTGAATTTGTCAGTAGTAGTCTTTAAGGGTGGATCTTGTAGTAGACTGACTCTGCTGCAATAAATTTTGCGATGGAATGGCAATATTTTGATTTACAATTTTTGTGAAGCATTATTAGCCTTGTTCTTAGTCGGCGTTCTTGTAATGTTTGCCAATTCATGGTGTCTAACATCTCAGGCACACTGCTGGTGTTGTGATGTCTGTTGCACGCATACTAGTACCTTAATTGCCGTCCGTCTCTGTACTTATTCTAGTGATCGTATATTTTCATTTGTAAACGGGTCCCATACAGTACAACAGTATTGTAATTAGGGTCTTATATAAGTGTTCGGTATGCTCTTTTTCTAATTGTTTGTGATTGGACTTTGAGATTTCTTCTAATGAAACAAAAGCCATTTGCTTTAGCGGCTGTTTGCTGAATGTGGTTGTTCCGTTTAAGGTCTGCAGAGAAATTGTGATACCTAAGTATCTTGCATGTTTTACTGATTCTAAAATGTGTCCATACATGTTATAATACAAGTGGATGGGATTTCTCTTGGCTGTTATGTTCATGATGTTACAATTGTCAGGATGGAAAGATATAAGCCAGTCTTGTTCCCATTGTATGGCAGCTTTTAGATCTTCTTGAAGCTTAAGGCAGTCATTGTGAGATTTAATTTGTCGGTATGTAAATTAGGAATAGTATCGGTCCCGTAGCACTGGTCCCTGTGGGACACCTGCTGTGAATGCATGGTATTTTTGAAGATGACATGTTTTCTAAAAGTACTGTTGGGTTCTGTTTGAAAGAAAGGTTTCAACCCAGTTTATGATTTGTTCTGATATGCCAAAGTATTTCATTTTATATAGTAAATTTTTGTGTGGTACCTTGTCGAAAGCTTTAGCAAAATTCATGATTATAAGATCTGTTTGTATGTTCTTGTAATTGTTTTGTGATAATTCATGTATCAGAGAGATTATTTGGGACTCACGTGATCGTTTAGCCCTAAATCCATGTTGTAATTCATATAGTGTGTTATAGGGATCTAGATGTTGTATCATGCTGCTTGCAAAAATATGTTCGAGTAATTTGCAAGCTATGCATGTTAATTATATAGGTCTAGTTCCCTAGGTTGTGTTTATCCCCTTTTTTTGATGCAGGTGCGACGTTTGCATGGTTCCAGTAAGATGGTACTTTTCCTGTTTGTAATGATCTAGTAAATATTAAAGTGAGGATGTCTGTACATATTTCAATGTTTTGTTTTAGTACTCTGCCTGCGATGGTGAAAGGACCAGTAGTTTTATTAGGGTTAATGTTTTTAATTAGTTTGTAAACACCACCCCTAGATATTGTAATGGGTTCCATTTTGGGATGAGTACTAGGACCTTCATCTTGGGTGTTAGTGTTTTCTTCAGATGTAAAAGCAGACTGAAACTGTTTGTTAAGTATGTTTGCTTTGATGTATACGTACTTGATTGCAGTGCAGTGTACCTTCACTTCGCAGAGAAGCTATGCCGGTGTTTTCATTTTTCCGGCTTTTAATGTAAGAATTGAGTTTTTTATGTGTATTTTTGAAGCTAACTCCTTTATTTCAATATCAAAAATCATATATTCTATGTATTGACAGTACGAGTTTCTCATTTCTTTCTGGGGCTTAGTTTTTATTTCTTGGTATTGTTTTTCATACTTAGGATTTTCCTTTTTCTTTTTATATAGGTTGTTTTTCTTCTTTATCACATTATCATGTGGCTTGTCCCATATTTTTGCAATTATTTCAGCAAAACTGTTTTTCCTCATACTTGTTTTGAATCTTTGGTACTAGTATATGATTTTGTTTCTACAATAAAATTCTGTTCTATATCTGTTGTCTGTAGATTTGCCATATATTTGATCAAATTGCTTGCTTTTGTGCCCTCCTGATTCTTCTAAATGACATTGCTCGAAGTTTTAGTTTCTTTAGTCTTTCAGAGAAGCTTAGTTTAGCAAATCCTGGTATTTGTCGTGTTGTTCTTTACTGTACACTCTCTATTTTTGTATATATATCTATATACTTTTTTTGAAAGATTGGAGCTATTTTCCAATTCTTTCCCAAGGCACTGACCTCACCAAACAGGAAGTAGTTAGACTAAATTATAAATCAATACACACTGAAATATAGTTCCCAGTAATTCTCATACATCTGTGTACAGATCATGCACAATTTTGGTTATATCTTGAAATCAGATCATTCATGTATGTATTATTTAATTTTGTCAATTTGATAGATAATTTTGCCATTTTAATTATGTAAAAGTACTGATACAAGACCAATCATTGATGATTGACAACTGTTAGGATCAATTTAATATTATGCGATAAGGTGGAAAATTAATTTTGATTTTCTCATCCTCTTAACTGCCAATCATATTGACTAAATTATCTAATGTTAGTCTTACTTAGCTAAGCAGCTTAAAAAACCAACTCAATACACAGCTCAATATACAATTATTGACCTCAATTTAGTGTTAGATGTTTGATACCATGATATCTCTTTATTTTATATAGTAGAAAAATTTACACAGTCTTCAAATGCATCCATCGGTAACCTGTATTACTTTTCCAATTGATGGTCGGGTAAGGATTTCGGGCCTTAGGTCTTATGGTCAGACAAACTCACCAACGGATTTTTACTGGAATACCACGACGTCATGCTTCAGTGATTCCCTATATAATCAACCAATTTTTTCCCACGAAAGGGGGGGCGGGTCCCCCAGGCCCCCCCCCCCCCCCCCCCCCCTGGATCCGCCTATGATATACGACCTGCTAGTCAAATGCGTTTTGTTAAAATATACTTATTCACTCATTTGGTCTTTTGGAAAATGTTGTTTGTGCTGTATTAAGACCCCTCTACCAAGAAATTTGTTTTGCATGCACACGTATAAAAAATGCGGTTTTTATCCAACGCAATCATAGGTTTGAACGTTGTTTTCAATTTAGACTTGTTTATATATAAATATATTTCTCTAATTCTTCGTCAATTTATCCCTTTCTGCACCCATTGTATAAAAAAAATTTAATCAACGTGTGGTTCGTTTGATCTCAGTTCTTCATTGGTTAAAATCCGATTATGACGTCGAATTTTCTTGCTTTCCTCTGAATTTCCTATTGTGACGGCATGAAAAAAGCGACCATGCCTGATGACGTCACATAGAAAGAACACATCTTTTTGCAAATCATTCGAAAAGAATGAATAAATTTGCCTGCGTATTGTTTGAAAATCATTAGAGAAACAGATTCCACCACCAAATCTCGTGTAATACGATATTTATCCACTCTCGACAGTTAAATTTTAAATATTTAAAACGCTCGGCGAGCCTCGCGTTTTAAATTTGAAAATTTAACTGTCTCGAGTGGATAAATATCGTATCACACTCGATGCAGTGGTAGAATCTATATATATATAAACAAGTCTAAATTAAGAACATCTGTTGTTTGACCTGTTAGTCAAATGCGTTTTGTTAAAATATACTTTTTCACTTTTTTGGTCTTTTGGAAAATGTTGTTTGTGCTGTATTTAGACCCCTCTATCAAGAAATTTGTTTTGCATGCACACGTATAAAAATTGCGGTTATTATCCAACGCAATCATAGGTTTGAACGTTGTTTTTAATTTAGACTTGTTTATATAATTTTTCGTTTGGGCTTGTATTATATTTTCCATCGGGTTTATATGATCCGTTCATCCTATTTCTAATATTTCGACTCTTCAAAATTCAAGAGTCTTTCCTAAATTGAGGTAAATTATATGGCCTTCCAAATACCGTTTCGATCCCTAACATCACTGAAGAGACATTAATTGTCGAAATCCGGATATGGTGTACTAATTTTTGCACCTTTTGTTTGCGGTATACCATCTTTTCCGCAAGTTTATTGTTTTCTGTTTGGTATTAAATTAATAATTTTAAAAGATCCATTTTGTAACATCTTGTGATCCGTTTATTTTGCAATCGCCAATGGCAGTCAGCAGGGTTTAAGAACATCTGTTGTTCGACCTGTTAGTCAAATGCGTTTTGTTAAAATATACTTTTTCACTTTTTTGGTCTTTTGGAAAATGTTGTTTGTGCTGTATTTAGACCCCTCTATCAAGAAATTTGTTGTGCATGCACACGTATAAAAATTGCAGTTTTTATCCAACGCAATCATTGAACTTTTTTTTTCAATTTAGACTTGTATATATATATATTTATATATATAGGTCACTGCACGGCCTTCAATAATGAGATAAACCCATATCGTATGGTCAAAACTACTAGAACGTTGTGTTGAGGATGTCATCATATTTCACATACATGTACTAAAATTCTACAACAGTGGTATAAATTGACGATTTTGGGTAAAATGATCGTTTTTTTGATTAGATATCATTGAAAACTTGGAAATTTT